TGAAGTTGCAAGTTTTTACTGGATTTTACTGGATAAATTTTTACTTGTAAGAATTTGCCAGTACGAAAAACAGCTGATCGCATGTTGCTGGATGAAATTTAAACTAATAAGGAAACTGTTTGTGACATTTTATTGTGGAAATTCACAAAATAAACATATTTAAATATAAAATATATTGTTTTATTAGGAATATGCTGCGAATAAACAACCAATTTATCAGCTGCTCATGAAACTTGCAAACTATTACTGGAAAAGCGTTCACGTACTTTTTTGTAAATTTTTTATCTGAGAGCGAATTCTTAGAAATTTAGTTACTGGAGAGTTGCTGGCAAGTTACTGGATAATTTGTAAAAAAACACAACTACTCACTCAACCGACAATGTTTTTTCAATGATATCGCACGTTATGTTTGGAAATAAATGAGTGCGAGTGTGTACAGATGTAAAAAGAAAGCGAGTGACTTAAAATGTAATTTGAGTGTATCCATGCAGCTCCCTGGTATTTATTTATACATGTAAATAGTGTTTATTTTTTTCCTTTTGTTTACCACAAACTGTTATGAAAAAAGAATATCCTTTGATTAAAAAAAAGATTTAGTGCTTTTAGTACGGTAAAACGCTCTTTTTTCCAAGGTTTGGTGCTTTTTGAAATTCAAAAGTTGGCAACACTGGTTTTTAGGTCCTAAAAATCCGTTCCCTGGTTATGACATAATTAATTTTTCATCCCTTAAAAATTACACAAAAAATCCACTTGTTTTTATAGCCCAGTAAAACTAGATAAATTTAGTAGAAAATTTGAAAAAAATTTGTACCAGCGATTTTTTGATGAAGTTTACTTCTATTTGACACGTAGATCATGGATCCACAGTCTTGTCCCTAAATTTCATTTGGCAACATTCCGCCATCTTGGATTTAAGTTTTTTGGGTTTTTTTACGGATTGCAAGCTTATGTTGCATTTTTCATAAAAAAATGGTTAAATAAAATATGTAGAGAATTTAATTACCCACATTTTTTATATAGAAGCTTTTTAAAAAAATTGAATTTTTTATTGTAAAAAATTAGCAAAAACTGCGAAAAAATTTTACATTGTCACGGTTTTGCAAGTTTTTGACAATTTCTGTTGAAAATACATAGCATACTGAAATTCCAAAGCTGTAGAGCATTTCATTCTTCACAACTTTTATACCTACATTTTTTTGTACGACGCTTAGATCACGGCCGAGAACATGCCAAACATAGAGATTATACTGTAAAATTAGATTAATTTGGTAGGAAAAAAAATAAAAAATTTGTAACAGCGATGTTTTGATGCAGTTTACTTCTATTTGACTCGTAGATCATGGATCCACAGTCTCGCCTCTAAATTTCATTTGGCAACACTGCACCATCTTGGATTTACATTTTTTTGCGATTTGCAAGCTTATTTTGCATTTTTCGTAAAAAGTGGTTAAATACAAATATGTATACTTTTGTCATATAGAAGGTTTTTTAAAAAAACATCTTTTATTGTAAAAAGTTAGCAAAAACTGCAAAAAATGTTGGGGAATTTACATAGTGTTACACTCGCAAACATAGTTGACCGCGAAAATAAGTCTACGTGTACTTCTTCACCGTCAAATATTTTAACGCGTCTTTCTTTGCCGTCAACTATGCCTGTTTATGGCATCTGAACTTAACTTAACGGAACGAAAAACTTAGAGAATCAAATGGAAACAGATTTCGACGTTGCTTTAAGTTACGCTAAGTTTCGGCTGTTCAATTATAAGCAACATCCATTTAACAGAATTTTTAAGTGAGAGCCGTAAGTTACGTTAAGTTGCCATAATCAGACCATAAGAGTCTTTCTTCACTGAAGTTTTTTATGCGCCTTTTTTCGCCTTTATTCGTGTCTAGTGACGATATATTGTATGTCTAAATTTTTGCGATAATTTTTCAAGTTCGTTTCTCTTTGTTTTGTTTTAAACTGTATTCAGCGATACTTGTCTTTTTATTCTAAGAACAAAATTGTATGTTTTGATTCGATGCTTCAGAAACGTCCCGGCTTATGTCCACAGCAATGTGGTCACCGTAAGTATGTGTACACCCACCCAATTGCACTGCCCATAATAAAAATTTGATTATACAAATATCATCTAATATTATCATTCAACAGTTCTAATGTGACCTGGGCTTAGGAGGAAAAAATATTATTTTAATTATGAATAAATTTACATACATATGCATTTGGTTTATGTGACATGCGTAGATATTTTAGTATGTTTACTAGTGCATTATATTTACTTATGTAAATATGTATGTATATTTTTAATCATATTTAATGGTTTGACTTTTTTAGCTACAAAAGCTAGTTTTTATAGCATATAGGCCTTGCATTTTTTGCTCTTCGCTGCATTTTTATAACTCTGTATTAATTAAAAAAAAAAACACTGCCAGGGTTAGAACAAATCGCACACCGTCTTCAAAAGAGTCACAACTCAAAATTTTACATTTTTGAAATTATGCGCTAAAAATGTACACAGAACTTTTATTTACCTCTCAGCAAAAGCCAGAACAAATTTTTTTATAATTTGTTAGAAAAACCTAAGGTAAAATCGCCCTTGCCAATATGATTAGCATGTGCTATGAAATAGTTTTTCGCATTTTCTGACGAACGTATTATTTTCAGTTGTGACTCTTTTGAAGACGGTGTGCGAAATGTTGTGTTAAAGTACTATGTATATACATACATAGTTTTCGTTTTCTCAATAGTTCAGTCTCTCGTTTTAAGTATTTTAAAGACAATAACACGTTACATATATACGTATGTGGGACTACCTAATTTGTATGTAGATATGTAAATAAGTTTGTGCATTAAGTTGAAATGTTAATTATGCGCGTGAATTACCTGACAGCGCGAGTAGAGAAAAGTGCAACCAATATACATATGTGCAGAGCCTGATTATAACACGGGGCCGCGGCCCAGGGCCCCACATGACGATCCCGAAAAAGTTAGTTGTTTGATAATTCTTAATATCCAAAAACGGTTTTTGCCTTGGAATAGTGGAACTACTAACTCAATGTGACTCAGTTTTTTCTACTATATTCGCAGAACACATAAATTTGTTGTGGCAAAATTACTCCCAGAAATTATCTCACGGTTCAAAAAAAGCAAATACTACTCCTTCTCTGACGAATCAGCTCCTGATCTGACACATATCGACCGATTGCCCGTCCTATCAAAATACACGGAGGACATCAGACCAGTCGAACGATTTTTAACATTTCTTTCAATTGTGGCCACACTGGAAAAAATGGCGGATGCTCTATGTGCTACAGTTTTTAAAGGAACACGAAATGGTTATAAAGTATTGACGTGGTCAGTCATACGACACTGAATATGATCCAAAAGCAATGACCAGTGCATGCCCCACGGCGGTCGTTTTTTCTAGCAAATTTTTGTATTTTTCACATTTTTGGCAGTGGAATATGAAATTGTCAGATGAACGCATGCCCGAGGACTGGAATTTGAGTTTGCTCCACCACATAGATTACTAGATCTTATCGAGCGTATTGTGTGAATGACTGAAGCCCACCTTCAACGAACTGATTGAGCCTTATCAGTGTGGCTTTAGACCCAGAAAATCCACTACAGACCAGGTATTCACAATACGCCAAATCTTGGAAAAGACCCGCGATAAATGGATCGACACACACCATCTATTTATCGCAGTTCTACAGTACTAAAAGGAGTTGCGTATACGCCACCAATGTCTGAATTTGGCATCCCTCCGAAATTAATATGCCGGTAAGGGTATGTGGGCAAAAGCATGGACGATGACAACATCCGATGAGGTTGCTCTTGGAGTATTCGAGAGAAAGATTTTGAGCTTTACAACGACATGGGCATAGTACAGCGAATTAAAATAAAGCGGATCCGCTTGCTTGGTCATGTCTTTCGAACGGACACCGATGCTCCAGCTCTGATAGTATTCAACTCAAAACCCGCTGGTGGTAGCAGAGGAAGAGGGAGGCCTCCAATTGGATAGAAAGATCAAGTGGGGAAGGACTTGGCTTCACCTAGCATTTCCAAGTAGCGGCAGTTGGCACAGAAGAGAAACGACTCGGACTGAGTGGGGTGAACTTCGTAGCCACTGTAGAGATAGGAGGCTGGTGTGAGGGCATGAGGAGTTCTGGCTCGGTGAATCTCTTGTAAATAAGCAGGTTGCGACTAAAAGCCTGATTATGGCAACTTAACTTAACTTAACGGAACGTAGAACTTAGGAAATCAAAATGCTACAGATTTGACTTGGCATTAAGTTACGTTAAGTTTCGGCTGTTCAATTATAAGCAACATCCATTTAAGAGAATTTTTAAATGAGAGCCTGTAAGTTACGTTAAGTTGCCATAATCAGACCATAAGCCGCTGCTATTGCACATCACTTCCTCAAGAACTGTGGCGGAGTGCAGGGCAGCTCTGGATTTGCTACATCCTGGTACCGACATACATCTGTACTGAGCTCCGGGCACACAGGCATCTCGGACAACGAGCCTTTCCAATGAAAGCGCTCTGTCGGAAACTATGCTGGTAGAGAAAGTGTAGATTTCCACAAAAATTGTGTAGGAGCCACAAAAAAAACAAAAATTTTATTATTAAATAAAGTTATTATTAGAAATTAAAAACATTAATTTTATAATTATTCTAATGTAAGTAACATAGATATTAAAGAAAATTCAAAAGATTCCTTTTGCCAAATTTTAAAATCTGGTTTTAAGTCAGTTAAAGCCGTTCGTAACAGTTCTGTTAAATGTTGGTTAGTCAATAGATACGTTCGTTTAAAATCTACAGTAAAAATGTCCAACAGCAAAATTCCGGCGAAATGTCATCTGTTCTCTCAAAAGAGAAAAATATCCAAAATAGGACGCGAACAGAAAATTTGCAGAAACTTGCAAGTTAGACGAACACCTGATAGAAATTTTGTTTACGTTCAAAAGTATAAAATTGAAAACGTAAGAAAACCAATCCCGAAGTCTTATCCTGACCCAGTTCACTGACTAAACGAATAATTACTTACTTCTTACAAGCTTAATTAGTCGCATTTTACTATTTTAACTTCCAAACCATCAAATTTAATATAGGGATTTGCGTAAATTCCAAACTGCTGTTTTTGATCAGCTGTTTTCTTTTTGGCAAATAGCTGTTGGCTAAAATTTGTCCAGCAGAAACTAGCAGCTTTCCCTCAAAATGAAATGTCATTTTGCTCTCTCAATTTCCCCTACTTTGCAAGTTTTTTGCGTACGCGAACACAAAAGCTGATAGTTCTTATGACTTTCAATAACACTATAGGGAGGCAAAAATATCACAGCTAAACGACCAAACACGTAACTTAATTTTTGCCTCTGGATTACGATTGCGTTTTCAGAAAATCCGTATCACGTCAAAATTTTGAGATATTTTGAAAATCAGTACAGAGCCATAAAAATCAGCTCATTTTTAAGCGCATTTTTTATTATTAACAATATAACAACCAAATTACAGCGCATTAATTAGAAAAAAAAAAAATAACTTATAGACTTTTAAATACGTATAGTATTATCAATACAAAAATTCATTACCTCAAAACAAATCAATGGTATTACGTATGT